GTTGTAGTCAGGAAGTGACCGCTTGGCCAGTTCCAGATCAGAGGGATTAGTACTTAGAAGAGAGTTATTTTGACTTTGACTTTCTTCATGTTTTGTGCTCTTATGGGAGCTTGCATTAGACAGAAGAATCTGATCCACTTGATGTGTTCCTCCCACGGTACCCTGGAGATCGGTCGTGTCGTGCGCTTTCGCTGCTGCAAGCCTGTTCGTTGGCAATGACTCTTTCGAACTCTGTTCAGGTGTTCCTCGACTCCTGCTCTGGTTCTCCGTCCGATTCTCCCGAGCCTCTTTGTCCCCTCTGTCTTCCAAGTCATTAGGAGCAGATCTTAAGGTAGGCCCGACTTCAATCTGCGTGAGGGCAGGACGCTCCTGCTCTCTGGGGGTTTGACGAGACATCACTGCACTTTCTAATTTTTCTTTGCTATTATTACCGTCATTGCTTGTCAGAGGCCTCGCTTGTGTTGCATTCTCCTTACGAGTCTGAGTACGATTCTCGTCAGGCGTATGCGCCTGAGCCTGCACTGCATCCTTCGGTGTCGCCCCCTTCTGACGCTGTTCGGGAGCTTGGGAATGCCCTCCCTTTTCTCCACCATTACTCTGCAATTCAGTTTTGTAACGATGGTCGTTTACTATGTCCTGCATTTTCATTTCGGGAGCTTCTGACGCTGTTCGTTTACTATGTTCGGGAGCTTCTGACGCTGTTCGTTTACTATGTTCGGGAGCTTCTGACGCTGTTCGTTTACTATGTTTGGGAGCTTCTGACGCTGTTCGTTTACCATGTCCTGCATTTTTATTGTCGTAACGATGGTCCTCAGGCGCTGGAGCGGGTGTCTGAGCACGTGTCGCATTCGTACCAATATGATTATCCTTGGGTTTACTAGATTGCTCTACATCCTTCACTTGTTTTCTCGCCTCCGTATGGCTGTCTTTACGAGCTTGGGGATTTCCTCCCTTCTGGCCACCACCGTGCGGCGACGATTCAGTTGGCTGGCCGTGAACTCCGAGTTTCCTACTGTGACGTTGCTCCTCATGCATCTGAGCATGCACCACATTCCCTGACTTCTCACCACTCTGAGGACGCGCTTCAGGCACGTGAGAATGTGTCCCATTCTGTCGATTATTGCGATGCTCATTTGGCAGCGGTTGCGCATGCCCGGGCGGTGGAGGCGGCGGTCGAGGAGGAAGCATGGGTGGAAGCTCGTTCGGGATGATCCTGTTGTGCTCCTTTTGTTGCTGCGACGATGATCTCACGCTGGATGGCAATTCGTCTGACATCGTTATGGCTCTGCTCGCAAGGCCACCCAGCTCCTGGATCCTTCCATTGCCGCCACCTCCCCCTACGTTGTGTTTCTGCTCCCCTTTTTGAGCTGCACCGGGCAATTCAGAGCTGCTTGCCCTAGTGTATTTTTCAGTCCTTAGCTCCTCCACCTTTGGTCCCACAGCCAGCTGTGGACGTAATGCCAAACCCTCCACTATTTCTCCATCTTGCAGCTGCTGCCGATCACCTCCTCCTGCTTTGAACTCCCACGGGCGCATATCCATCGTAAGGACGTGCTGCATACCACCACTCCCAGAAACAACTATCTTCTTGGCTTCTCCTGGAGCTATGATGAAGGCTTTGAGAGTCAGACTGTCACGTCGAGAGGACGAAGATGATGGCTCCGGTCCGAGTCCCTGCTGGGCCGATGTCCCACTGGTGCTCTGCTGAGGCATGGGAGTAGCGTTCTCCCAAGTCCCATGAGACCCTGGTAGCTCACCAGTGGGTGCAGCCATCCCTGGGGAAGATCGTTTGGACCTTCGTCGTTCCCTCCATTCTTCTTCTCTTTTACCAGCTTCCCCTCCCTGACCTCCTTGTCGTCCACCACCTCCTCCTCCTCCTCCTCCTCCTCCTACTCCTACTCCTACTCCTACTCCTACTCCTTCTCCTCCTTCTCCTCGGCCTGGGCTCTCCTGAGAAAGGTAGGCAGGAGAGGATGGTTGATCTCTGAGGCCTGAAGCGCGTAACTCCTGTTCTGACAGCTGAAGTCTCTCTGTCAGGACCTGGGTTTGCTCCTGTAAGGCCCTAACTGTTGCTTCCAGGTGTAGTTTCCTGTCCTGCAAGTCCTTCTGGATGTCCTGACTCTGCTGGGCTTCGGTCAACAGCTGAGTTGTCTTCTCCCTGTGTGCTATGAGTTCCCGATTGGCCGTTTCGACTGCCCTATTGAGGGCCAGTATATATTGCTCCAGGTGATGGTTTGCATTCTCAAGGCGGCTGGCACGCTCTCGCAACTTTGTAGCTTCCTTGGAATCCGAGGTTCCTCGCTGAGAATGAATCTCCATCCTCCGTACAAGCCTTTGCAAACGAATCACCTCCTCCGCATAAATACTCCTCTCAATCTCCAGCTCTCTGACATATGTTACACGAACATCCCGGCGAAGAGAGTTCAGCTCCTCATTCTGGGTGTCATAAGCCGCCTGAAGATCGGCAAGCCTCTCCTTGAGGGTCATCAGTTTAGACCGCAGGAGTGCTGCCCCTCCTGTGCGAGGTCCGTCCGCTAGCCCTTGCATCTCTACTTCTGTCAGATCCTTCTCCAGCTTCCGATTCTCCATCTCCACAGTCACCGCTCTCACACGTGCCATCTTCAACTGCTCTCCCAGATCCGCCACCGTCCGTTTCAAGTCCATGATCTCTTCCAGCATTGATTCTTTGTCCCTATTCGCGAGCAATATCCTCTTAACTTGTCCGCTTGTCGCCCAGACATCATTGTGGAAATTGTTTAACCTAGAACTTCCTCCCCCTCCTCCCCCTCCTCCCACTCCTCCCACTGCTATTCCTGCTCTTTCTCCTCCTCCTCCTCCTCCTCCTCCTCCTCCTCCGGCTTTCTTTCCCCATACCATGAAAGGCGATGGGGATCCACCCGCTCCCCCTACATTCTGTTGTCGGTTGCCTGTGGCAGACCAGGTCCAATCAGTTTGAACTCCAGTTAAGGGCCTGGCAGCCTTCAGGTCCGGGAAAGACCCCGAAGGGTTAAGATGCCCCTGTCGAAAATCAACAGCCTGGTCAGCAGTAAACCCAGCTGGGGGGTACCCAAGTGCAGCCACACTCCTGGCTGTAGACACTGAGTGACTGGTGGTGCCCACGGTGGTGGTTGATGTAGTTGGCCTTGGAGGCCCTGCCAGTTTGACCGAAGATGCAATTGTGTCAGGAGAGCCATCTCTGGGGAGAGGACGAGGGTGCCAGTTGCCAGAAGCCGCACTCCGGGTAGACCACGCGACAAATTCCCGGCCGGGATACATCATGTGGGAAGCCATTTTTCCGAAACACGCTGTATCAGGCGCACATGTGATTCAACCTAAACCTTCACCACTGCTGGATGTTACAGCTGCACTAAGAATAGGAGTACAAAACACACCTGCTAGGGTCTCTCTCTCTCTCTCTCTCTCTCTCTCTCTCTCTCTCTCTCTCTCTCTCTCTCTCTCTC